CCACACTCCTAAGAGGACAATGAATTACAGGGCCACCCAACTTCAAGTCCAGGCTTCAACAACGTGTGCACTCTCTGTGTCCGTGGGCTGGCGAGAGACAACGTCTGTGTTTGGGTGGCCATGGTATTAACAGCAGGGGCTTAAGCTATTAAAGCGAGCCTCTTTAAGCTTCTAGGGCTCCTGGAGCAGTGGGATTAGTGTATTTTTACCCCACAGCCAATGTAACTATTCCAACAGCAAAGCTCTGCTCTCTGCCATCCCTACGCAGACCCGGCTCTCCATTCTCTGGACTCCTCATGGAGTTTTACTTGGAAATCGACCCTGTCACCTTGAACCTGATCATCTTGGTGGCCAGCTACGTCATCCTGCTCCTGGTCTTCCTCATCTCCTGTGTGCTCTATGACTGCCGAGGCAAGGACCCCAGTAAGGAGTGCGCCCCTGAGAGCCCCGGCGATACCCAGACCTCGATCCGCTTGGTGGTGATGCAGCAAGGGGCTCCAGGGGCCCACTGGGCAAGGGAGACCAGCCTTCATTTTGGGGACCCTGCTCTTCCGGGGAAGAAAAGCACAGTGGTGTGAGGCTTCCCGAAGGGCTGGGGAGCAGACACTAGACTTTCTGGGCCATCTGCTCCCTATCGGGGATACTGTTCTTTGGATCAAAGGTCCTGCTTGACTACGTGCACAAGGACTGTGTCTTAGCCCTGCTTCCTCATCACCGACATAGTGGGACAAGCACCTGTTGCAGGTAAGACACCCTGGTGGCCTTTGGTCAAGCCCTCCATGCAGCAAACGGCAGAGTTACTATTGTTTTGTGATGGTCATCACTGCAACAGTCCTGCCACCACCCTTGCAGCTTCTCGGGGAGATTGGTGTTTGAGCAAGGGTTGAAAGGGGGTTCTGTCCTTTTAGGAGTATGGGTTGGGGGACAGGGTGAGCAACAAGACTCGTGTAAATACCTCCCAAGATTTGCAAGGCCTGAGCTGTCAAGGCACACTGTGGGTTATTGTTTTTAAAGACACTGGTTGTCCACATTCCAGTCCCCACCGTGTTCCAGGCTAGAGAAGACAGGGCCTGGGGAGCGCGAGCCTCAGAGCCAAGTCCAACACCAGCCCATAGATTTGAACTCACGGCAAGCCCATGTGTGACTGAGCAGAGCACGGGTTTTGCTGCCTGGAATCCTTTCAGGAAGCAGGTAGCCAGGTCTCCTGCCCACAGTGCCTCTGGGTAGGTTCACATCACCAAGCCTGAAGGCAGGGGGAGTCCAGCATCAACCGTTTGCACCAGCCTGCGACCTGATGGAAGGCGCTCCGGGGGCATGAGAGTTGCCCACCAATCCCACTGAGGAAGAAAGAGGAGGCTTTCTGCTCCTCTAACGAGCTGAAGCCTCGGAGACCCACAGGGACACTTCTACCCTGTCCTACAGCAGCGCTAGGATTTGCAATCGACGCGATGGCAGTGAGTTGGGACCTCCAAACTCCACATCTTGCACATCCTAGCTGTGACCCTGGTCAAGGCGGGCCACCTTTAAACCTCAAGGCTGGTGGTAAGACATCTGAAGTGGTTGGCATCCTAAATGAGTTAATGCACGGAAAGAACTTGAGACAGCTTGACACATGTTGTGTCCGGTGGGAGGGTCCTCTGGGTTGAATGGTGATGTCCAGCACCCCGTGTGACACAGTTGAACACCCCCAGAGGGTTTGGGCCCGGTGGCTATGTGCTCCCCTGCTGACCAATGAACGGTCTGAATCGACCAGCCGCTCCACAGGAGAAGATGGCAGTCTGCTCCGTAAAGGTGACCACCTTGGAAACCCTGTGGGGCAGTTCTGCTCTGTCCTGTCCGGTGGCTGTGCATGGACATCACCTCGAGGTCCACGTTTTGTTTTCCTCTTTGTGGGTCGGAGCACCTGGCTTCCTCCCGCAGAACCCCTGGGATGCAAACCACCACCTCTCCAGGAGCAGCTGAGGGGGTGGCTGGGGCTGCTGGGCGC